ATGTCGGCTTCCTTGAAATCGAAGTTACTTTACTTCAATTACCAATTGGCAGTTCTATGGTGTAATGCACATGTGTCAAACTCTAATTTTATTTGTATTAATCTACTTTTTCATGACACGTTAAGTTATTGAGATGATGTCAGATTTAACCGTAACCATAACGACATGCATGTGGCCTGCGCTCCGTCACAGATCCACCGCCTGCCAACATGCAGTGACCTTCACAGCTTGTCCTGCGCTGTCATCTGCTGATGCCAGCACATTTTCCAGGTAACATTAATGTTGTGACAAACATGACGGCCTCTGTCGTCAGCTCCCGTCTCACTCAACATGACAACAAACTGAGCCGCCGCTATGATTTCACTAAGGCAGAAAGGAAAAAGCTCTTCTGATTGGCGCCACCAGCTCTGGGGTTACTGTATAAAAACAACCTGTTCAGTCCAGAACCGCTCCGTTCGGCTCGTTAATGATATAACCAGCAGGGACTGAGCCAAGCCGCTTCACCAGTGTCAAAACAATGACTCCACAGAACCGTGGCCTCTCTGCTAATTTTAAACCCGGCTATTTGTTTTCCTTCCATTCAAGAAACAAACATCTAATCTTTCCCTGGAAGATCTAAATATAGCAGCAAACCTCAGACCGGGTCCGATTGTCCATCCACAGCCATCACATTAATAAACACAGGAGCAGAGCTGATTAATCGGATTAATTGTGATGAATCAACTAATTAGCTAATTCAGTAATTGATTAATAGTTAACTGGAGTATACGGACTCAAAAAGGTCAATTTGCTGAAAAAACAACATAGCAGGAGCAGTAATTAAGCCAAAACTATACAGTTTTAGCTTCACCCGGTTCAAATTAGTAAGTCTGATTAGTCTTAGTTATTAGGGCTGTCGCAATAAATCAATTAATCACATGATAGATTAAAACTAACTTCATTCCCATTTGCATGATTTATTGTTTTTCTCTTCCTACCAAAAACTAGACGGTAAAAGTTTTCAGTCTGGTGTTTTGGTCTCAACTAGCTTCTTTTTTGATGGGCCATTTTGTTTACAGACTCTGCATAATTCATGTTATAGTTTCTGTTTTGTTTATTTTGGATATTTAAAATGTCTCCCAGTTGCAGTGTTAAATATTCATTGGAATTATTTCATTATTATGCATTGCATAATTATATTACTTGAAAATGGTCTCAAAACAACAATATTATCGTTTATCGCAATAACTTCTGGGACAATTTATCGTCCAGCATAAATTTATTGTAACAGGCCAAGTTTTAGTTGGAAAGTGATTTATTAAGCACCTTTCACTATCCAATTAATCAGATTAAACAGATTAGCCCTTTACTATATTCATGTTAAGCAGAAGAGCTAATCTTTGTTGACCCTAGAAGTATATTCTTCTTTAGCTTCAAATAAGTGTTACTAAAAGAATGATCTATTATAGCATTTTAGGGATTAAAGGTGTTTATTTTCATATTTAACAGTAGATTTGAATTATTTATTTGCATCTTTTAATGAGTTTAAATGAAAAATCTGCAGAATCTGCTCATTTTGTTATCCGATTAGTCGATTAATCATCAGAATAATCAATATTTATAAATAATTGTTAGTTGCAGCCCTAACAGGAGCCTCAGATGGGGTGAGATCATGAGAAAATACAGCAGGTTGACAGCGAGGTGAGCTCAACCAGACATCCCCATGTGCGCGGTTTTAATCCGTCCTCTTCCTAAGATCTCTCCATCGCCAACTGTGTGCCAGAAACCAGGATTAGTGGCGTTCTTTACACCTTTTAGAAAGTCAGCCCCCTGTCTGCTCTTTTAATTGTGCACAGGCTTCTACTTTTTGGGCTAAATCTGGAACAGGTGGATGAACAGGAGGGCTTACTGATGATAACATTTAAACGCTGAAGCTCGAGTTAACTTCATTTTCCTTTAATTCTCGTTCTCCTCTCAGGCCAATCCTGACTACAATGACTCAGGTCACTCTTAAAGGAAAAAAGTGCACGGTGTCCCACTGGTGCCGTTCATGTCGCACGCTCTGCAGTGGACTGGAGCTGTAATGAGAGTAGGGAACGAACGCAGCAGCTGCCGGGCTCAACGGGAGAACGCACAGTGAGTGGTCAGCACCCATTGTTTGTGCGCTCCAGATATTTTCAGTCCCATCAGACAACGAGCTCTTGACATCCAGAACAGAAGAAGCGAACGTGTTGAACTAGAGATGCACACGCAGCTGCCAGAAAAGTGACAAACAAGACGGCCGAGGTCTGAATTTGAATTGGAGCACTGACGTAATCTACAGTGAGTAATATGTTGCATTAAAAAGCTATAAAGTGGAATGTTGCAGAGGTTAAAACTCTCTCATCGGGTAAGCTTTACCTGCAGCTGCTTCTCTAATCTATCATTTATTATTAGGGACAGAGGGAAAACATGCAACTGCTGTATTTTTAATCAAGACATTGGTTGCAATTAAACCACATTTTCCTTTTTCTCCATCTGTATCATGATGCTCCATCGGTTTGCATGAAACCACAATCTGCAGGGGCATCAAGGGCAGAGAGAGTCATTCCAAATGCTTAAATATATGATTTGGTTAATATGAATGCAAAATGTAGTTGCATACAAGCAATCCTCTGCGATTTTGATATTGTAGCTGCAGCTGAAGCTGAAAGATGTTTGGGTTTAGATAATCCTCACACCAAATCAATCTTTATTCTTATATGTATAAAGATGAATATGGATTATATTCATACCATTGCAATAATACAGCAGTTTGCACAATCTCTCCTTTAAATGCCACTTTTTTGGTGGTGCACCTGCAATGCTGCTGTGATGGGAGGGCAGAGATAGACAGGAGGGGGGAGGAATGGAGTGTGTGTGTGTGTGCGTGCGTGTTTCTGTCTTCTACTGCGTCTAAAACCGACCCCAATTCTTTCCCCTGCATGCGTCTTTCATAAATCCCACTATCCATATCAAATCCATCCAGTTCCCAGCGCTCACACCTGTCCCGCAAAGCCACGTCGGCTCCCGCATTCACAGAATTGAACCAAACAATCTCCGTGTTCGCGTTTCATTCATCGCCGTGCAGGGGGCGCGGCGTCGGTGCGTCTTGGAGAGCTGCGGATCCCATTGATAAAAATCCTCGTCTGGAGGGGGGGAAAGGGCTGCATTCAACGTCACTAAGACATGCATTCATCTATAGGGCAGCATGCAGCAGCAGCAGCTGGTGCACAGCCGCAAAGCAAGGGCAAACTCAACAATTTGGGTCGCAATGTGTAGGATGCGGAGCGTACCTGCATTTTGTCTGACGTAAACACCTCGGTGTCTACCTCGCAGGCGATGATGGTCACCATCTCCAGCTTCATATTTATGGATGGCATTCCCCTGTGTGGTTGGTAGGAAAAACGCAACGGAGCCAAAACTCTGCTCGTTCCTGTCAGCGGGTCGCAGAGGAAGCGCTTCCTCCGGGAGGAGCTGAGGTAGCGTCCAGAGAGACGGAGAGCTGCAGCAGCCGGACTCCTCACTGCACTGAAACGCCGCTCAGAGTGATGCTGCAGCAGCCGGACAGATCTCACTCCCTCTCCGACCCTCCCCTCTCCGCTCCCCCCCGGTTCTGGCTCCACATTGACGTCATCAGCAGCCTTACGTTAGTCCGGGTTTACGCCACTATAACGAGCTTGCTCGCTGCTCGACGATCCGAGCAGGACGCACTGCAGAATTCACCGTCCGGTTTTTTCCGCTTCATCTCGTTATTATTACCGTTTTATGTTTTCAGGGCTGCCGCGCGGAGAAATGTGGCGCAAACATTTGAGGGAATAAATTAAGAAATGGCGCCGCTTCAAAATAAAACAGCTAAGAGGCTGCTGCCTTTAATCAGCTTTTTTAAGCTTTCAAAAACAAACAAACAAACAAAAAAAACATTCTGTACTCCGAAGCAGTATACGAAGAGAAAATATATAAATTTGCGAGAATAATGTATTTCGAAAATATAAAAATAAAAATCTAATATTACTTTGTTCTAGTAATACGACTAGTTTGTACTTGTAATTTTATGACTTTATTCTTGGAATTTTATTTTTTTAAACCTCTTAGTGTTACCTTAATACTCATAGTATCGAAAATAAAGTATTCACACCCTTTGAAATTTGTCCAATTTTGCCATATTGCAACCATAAGCCAATTTTTTCCACTTTCGGGATTTTATGCAATAGATCAACACAAAGTGTCTTTACAAATAAAAAATCTGAAAAGTGTGGTGTGCAATTTTTTTTCAGAGGGCTCAGGCACAAAATAATTCTTCAGGTAGTTGATCATTTATATTCATGCTTTTATTTTGAAGGGGGCAAAACTGTTTACACAGTTGTCTGTTTTCCCCCAAATAACTTTACATCAAACAAGAAACATACAGGAACAAAAAACAAACAATAAAGAACAAGATACGCTATCATCTCCTTAGATATTGTGTATGTAAATTATGTCAAAATTAAACTGGTGTTTGAGGGTTGTAGTCTTTCAGAGGCAGATATAATTTCTCTATAAGATTTACATCTGTCTACATGAAGAAACTTTAAGTTTCAGTTATTTTTTTTTCCTCTTACATCATCATATTGAACCACAGCTTTAGCTACGTTGTCAAAACTGCTGAGCCTCATGAATGTTTTTTCCCCCTGTAAAGGCAAAATTGCATAACAACGCATGTGACACTTTATAACTGCAGATGACACAGCTTGAGGTTTCAGAGAAACCGACTTATCAGCAGTCGTGTGAATGTGCTGCATGCTAAAAGTGGTAGATGATACTAAAACCCAAATTACAGATGTATAAATTTTCTCTGTGTTAGGATTCAGAGGTGGAATCTTTGAAAGAACATCTTTCAAGCTCTTCTATAGCTGGATTGTTGATTTTAGATAAACTGTGTTCCCTTCATTATCCTGTTAATCTGAGTTTCCAATAGAGCGGAGGACAATCATTCCAAATATTCCCAAACCCATTACAGAGCTGCATAACAATCCATGTCTCCTCTGCAACACTGAGATCATCTCTCTTACCAGCCCTTCATTTCATAACGATAATAATAATTGCTCAAGCAGCTGAGACAGCTAAGTCTCCATGAGCCATTAATATTGAGGCCCTAAGCGGTTAGAGTTATTTATGTCTCTGTGTGTGTTAGGCAGCGTCCAAACTGAGCAGACAGAGAACATGAGGAAGATATGTGCAAATGACCGTGACACGCCTCCAGCAGACGGCCCGTCAGTCACTCCAGTTTGGAAAAATCTGCCTGTAAACGGCAAAACTGGCCACACACATCAGGAAGTGCGACACGTCTCCCCACAAGCAGAGCGCCGTCAGATTCTTCCTCTCCTGGGAGGAAATCTTTTCATTTCTTCAATTCTCAGCGCTGTGAAAAGGCAGCGCGGTGGATGTAAAGCGACAGATTTAGACATTCTTTCCAAAGCCCTCTCACAGCTCATTAATCACGCGCTCAGAGGTAACAAAGCAGTACGACAGTGTCATCTTTACTTTCAAATCCTCTCTGTTCTTTGGAAGATAATAAAGCCTCCCTCGTCAAAGGTTCGGATCATTTATTTATGCCATATAGAGACATAGGTTTATAAAGGTTACGGACAAACATTCAAAGTCTGGAGAAACTTAAGTGAAAGAAAAGCTTCCTGGTGCATAAAATCTTGGACCATCATCCTCTAAGATTGCTGCTTTTGAGGCTGTGTTCATACCAGCCATGGTTAGTCCGGTTACTTATTTGGGAAGATCTCGGTTCGGTTGAAGTTGAACTCTGTTGCGGTCCGAGTCCATATGTGAACGTCAAGCGGACTGGAGATCGTTCCAAATGCATTAAGCGGACTATAGCAGAGGGCATTCTGGGTAAATACAACCAAAATAAATGCTAGCATGTCAAGTGATACCGGGAGAAATGACTCGCAATCTTTTCCCAAAGACAAAAGAGAAAATTCCTACAACCGCTAAAATATGATGCTACTCCATTTCAGTTCACATTCTGCGAAGAAGGAAGTTGCGCTCATATCTTTTTCTTTTTAGGTTTTTGTGTAATTTTCTGCATTAGTTCTTGGTTTAGCGCCCCCACAGGCAAAGAGGGGAACACGTTTCTCAAGTGGTTTGGATCATTTGACACAGAGGAGTGTGACAGCAAACTGCAGCAGCTGAAAATGTTATAAATGTTGCAAATTTGGTCCTGAATCTGAGTAAACACCCTCAGTTATCCTGGTTTTCCTTAATTTTATCCAACGCAGTCCAGCTTAGTCTGTTCAGCAGAGACTGAAGAGCGGAACGATAGAGCAGGGGCTTCTTGTGTTTCAAATGAACTTCACTATCATATACCAATAACCTGAGTAAACACAAAAAGCAGTTCTGAGTAATTTCTTTATGGAAAAAAAATCTTAAAAATGCAACAAGTCTAAAATCACTGGAGGAATTTTTGCCACACAATTTTTATTTGAGCCACGTTGGTGGAGGGTTTGAGCTTCAGCTGTCTGTTTTATTTACTGTCACATCACCACAAGCAGATTTAAAGCTGGACATTGACCAAGCCCCTCCAAAATGATTCTTTTGTTTTTGTTTTTTGTGCCATTCAGAGGTGAACTCTTGATGAATAACTTCGGTATAAAAGTGCAGAAACTCGTGAACTGACAGATTCATTTATATCTGGTGTACAGCAGCAGGGATGAAAAACTCTGTTGCTTCATGAAAACAAAATGCCTTGCCTGGGTTTTCTCCAGTCTGACTTCTTCTTATATTGGGTAAAAATATGCACAACACCAGTTCTATTGGACTGATATACGGTTTCAAGCAGAGAGCTTCTTTTACAGACTTTCATACTGAGATTGTTCTTCAATTTTATTTAGCTTTTATTGGTGAAACAAGAACAACATGACCTGATTTTGTAGCTTAACACAGCTTGTAACAGCTTCAGCAGACAGGAGACATGAAGTATTCTTTTGTTTGTGCAAAGAATTGTGAATGAAGAGGAGGAACAGCAGGGCTTTGAGAATGAGGCCAGGGAGAAAGAAAAGAGCTTCATCATCCTGGGTGACCCATTCTTCTTATCAGGAGCGACAGAACGGATCAGAGGAATGCAAAGTCGAATGCGATGCCCTGCATGGCGCGATGGTGGCAAGGGGTGGGTTGGAAATAAAACCATTGCTCCAGTATGGATGGCTTTTGTCATTTTGCAATATCCTGATTTATTTTATTTCATGTAAAAGTCATGATAGCTAGAGATGCATTCTCATTCTAAGGACGTTAACAGTTTGTGTCACTAAAAGCACGCTGAGGAGGTGATGTTGAGCCGGGAATGATCACATATCATTTAGTTAACTGTGATTGTTTTGTATCTTTGAAATGAAGCTTAAGTGATTGTCTAACCTCAGTGGTGCGTTACTGGAACTTCTCAGGACATTCTGCAGCATTTCAAGTAGAGTATGGATGCTGTTGATGCTTGTAAGGTCTATGAGATTCTTGTATACACAAATGTAGGAGCGTTGTATGAATTCTGACCACAAAATTAAGTTTAAGACTCCAGGATAGACCCAGAAGTCACTGAAGGGAAAACACAGCGAAGCACCACCTACTCACGGTTCAGTATTTGTGGATTTGTCTATTCCTGATGGATTTTTATGTGGAACGAAACTCCAGATTATTCATGGAAAATTAGCCTATTTGCAGCTTTCCTTTTCCATGGCGCTAATTGACTGTACCCCAAAGAACAAAAATAAGGAAGACTGTAGATCTTAGCTTCTGTGGTAGTGCGAAGACAGTTTCCGCTGTGCGTATGAAAGCATATTTTGAGTTTGGACTATTAAAAGAGACAGTTATAAATGTTTTCAAAGGGGAGTATTTGCAGATCTCCACTATGTACAGGAAGTTGTGGTTCCTAAATCCCACTAATACCAGGAGTCCTCTGTACATCACCGCTGCTCTGGGAAGCTCTTGGGATCCCCCAGAATTAGTAACATCTTGTTTGGCTGAAGGATGTCTGGATTTCCCAAGTGAACTTTTTATCATCATGATCCAGAAAACAATGAATGTATACAATAAAAATATAACTAAAGCAAAAACCTACAGAACTATTTTCTTTATGTTTCAGGCACTTTTTGAAGACTGTAAATGTCATAAATTAAAATACTGTTTACATTTTCTTGCAAACTAAATTTAGCAATTATAATCTTTCAAATTTGCATTACCTACAAGATGGCACTAACACTGTGAGAGGTAAAAAAAATTATATATCAAGCCAGCTTCTGCCCAAGGGACATAAAAACTGACCAACAACACCCCTATAGTGCATTTCCTAAAATAGAACCATTCCCTTAAGTATAATCCATTTGCCTAAGCTGTAGCTAACCCACAAGTGAAGCCGTTAAAGCAAGAGTCTTTTTACTAAAAAGACCTACAGAAATAAAAATATGTCACATCACAATCTTCAAAATCTTTGGTCAGCATGAGTTTATGCTCCTTAAATAAGGATTGCATCTTTAAAAATGGTAGAAATGTATATATGCAGCATGCATGACATGCAAAAACAGAGAATAAGAACGCAGGAATGCAGCAGAGATGCTCAAAGG